TGTCCTTTACAGCATCTGGGCCCTCCCTCAACTCTAATCAGGCTGCTGTGGCCACTCAGTTGGCCCTGTTCTACTTAGTCTTGGATGATCCCACGTGGTCATTCCAGTTTCATCTGTGCTTCCAATCCCCTGATTCCCCACATATACCCACCATTTGAAAAAAATAACTGAAAAAATATTTTAAAGACCACCAGCCCTTAGTGATTATGCCTTTGCAAACTTGGTAAGGTAGTTAGCAGTAGGTGTAAATCTCATATTTCACTAAGCTCTATATGGGGTAGAGCCATAGAGAGTAAGTAGTCTCAGGCATCAGTGCAATTGATAAAACTTTAAGAAATCTCTAGGCTGGATGCAGTGGCACATTCCTATAATCCCAGCACTTTGGGAGTCTGAGTTGTGTAGATTGCTTGAGCTCAGTAGTTCAAGACCAACCTGGGAAACATGGCAAGACCCCGTCTCTACTAAAAATACAAAAAGTAGCCAGGTGTGGTGGTGTATACCTATAGTCACAGCTATTCAGGAGGCTGAGGTGGGAGGATTGCTTGAGCCTGGGAGGTTGAGACTGCAGTCACCAAGATTGTGTCACCATACCCCAGCATTTATAATGCATTATCACTTATGACTTATTTCAGTAAATGGCCCTTTCTCATTTGCGGCTTACTTACTCTAATTGCCAGTTGGGTGCCACTAAGGTGCTTCTTATAAATTCTCACTTAGTTTTCACATTTCTGAGCAGAAGGTATTTATATCCATGTATAAATGAGATCCTGGAGGATCAGATGTTAGCCAACTTGTCCTAAGTCATACTGGTAATACTGGAAATGAGACTGGTAACTAGCTTTGTCTGACTCCAAAGCAACTGTCTTCTATAGAGTAATTCACCTTCAAGGAACTTTATGTACATGCTTTTCTAAATAGAAATTTTTCTAGCAACAATGCCAATAAAATAATTTATTTAGTAGCTTATAGATTCTTGAGTATCTGAAAAATCACAAGCTTTTACAGTTGTAGTAATCATGGTAGTTGATATTTTATAGATCTTTAAATACATGGCATATCATACAGCTCAGTTCCAAGTAAGTCTGAAATTTTATATAATGATATTGACACCAACTCACTGTTTAGATGGCAAACCAAAAAGATTTGGAGAGAAGACAAATGGAAATCAGTGATGCAATGAGGACACTTAAATCTGAGGTGAAGGATGAAATCAGAACCAGCTTAAAGAATCTCAATCAGTTTCTTCCAGAACTACCAGCAGATCTAGAAGCTATTTTGGAAAGAAACGAAAACCTAGGAGAACTGGAAAGCTTGAAAGAGAACTTTCCATTTACCATGAATGAGGGACCTTTGGAAGAAAAACTGAACTTTTCCCAAGTTCACATAATGGTAAGGGTTTATCCTGCTATTCCTGGGCTTCATAGGATTGACCGCCTTCCCCAGCTAAGCTAAAACACAGATGTGGGGGTATTGAGGTAGAAGGGAAAGGCTGGTTGGCTCACACTTGCGGCAGCTGATGATTCATGATATTCCATTTTCCCTCTGAGAAAGGATGAGCACTGGCGTGGAGAAGCACTCCGGGAGAAACTGCGTCACCAGGAAGACCGACTCAAGGTTGCCCTTTAAAACAAAAAATCAGCATGAGATACTGGGCACACTGGGGAGGGGAGCGGGGAGTTACATTTACCTGATGCTTTCCCATCCATGCTATTGCAGCACTGCCAGCAGTGTCAGGGATGGTATGTCTGAAGCTCAGAGGAGTTGGCATCACAAAGTAAAAGGCAGGCAGTGTTCAAAACCATGATTTCTTGTATTGACGCCAGTGTTCGGTAACCTGAGATGCTGCTTTACCTCAGCTAGAACTGATAGAATCTAAGTATTTGGGACAGGAAATAGAAACACAGTGATGAACTATAAGGTTATCACAGGCCAGTGGTGGCAGGAAAGATTTGGAATACTGGAAAAGTAGGCTGAATGTCAGTTAAAGAATTGTTTGGCTTAGAACATGTTGACTTTGAAGGCCTTGCGAGATATCCAGGGAAGGATATCTATCTGTAGGCAGCCAAAAATAGGAGTCTAGGATTACTGATCAGTGTTGAGCTAGAGATTTGACAGTTAAGAGTATAGGTGGGAGCATACATTTATTTTGGGGGAGTGGCTATGTAGACAGTATGGGATGAGAGTACAGTGCTGCAGTTATTGAGTGGAGCTCTGTGATGTCCAAAAAGTCTCCAGCCATGTGTGGCTATTTAAATTTTAATAAATTATAATTCAGTTAAAAATTCAGTTCTTCATTTGCCACATTTCAGGTGCTCAATAGCCACATGTATGTACTGGCTTCTATATTAATAGCCAGATATAGAACGTTCCCATCATTGCAGAAAGTTCTGTTGGACAGCACTCCAACAGACTTTGAGAGAATCATTTCATTACAACAGGGGCAAAAGCCAAAAAGTAGTATGGAGCTGAGGATTAAATACCTAGTGAGTTATAGACCAGAAACTAAGGCTTAGGAAAAAAATACACAATGAGGAGACACTGCAGGTGTCAAGTATAACCTGATCTTCTCAGTTATAATAGAAAAGGGGGAAAAAAAAAGATAAGGCAATAATTTCATGGAGAAGCAAGGGATACAGGAATTCTAAGCACTGCTAGAAAAAACGGCCCAAGTGAAAGGCCCAGTTAACGACAACACAGAACAGTAAAGGTTTATGCACACTAAGTAAGCCAGATTTGCTTATGTGAGGAAGCTGAGCAGTAGTTCTGGTAGGTTTCTTCTGTGTAAAACCCTAAGTCTTGTCATAACACTTTTCAGGCCCAGCTTCGACACTGTATGTCTAAGCAGGCAGAAGTATTAATCAAAGGAAAGCGGCAGACAGAGGGCACTTTACACAGTTTGAGAAGACAAGTCGATGCTTTAGGGGAATTGGTCACCAGCACCTCTGCAGATTCAGCGTCATCACCCAGTCTGTCTCAGCTGGAGTCTTCCCTCACGGAGGACTCTCAACTTGGACAAAATCAGGTAAGAAGCAGCTCTTTTTTCAAAACAAAACAATAGCCTGGGTTTTTTTCGTTTTTTTTTTTTTTTTATTTTTTTGAGACAAGGTCTTGCTCTACCACCCAGGCTGGAATGCAGTGGTACCATCATAGCTCGTTGAGGCCTTGACCTCCCAGGCTCAAGCGAGCTTCCCACCTCAGCCTCCCGTGTAGGTGGGACTAGTCACACACCACCACATTCGGCTACTTTTTAAAATTGTAGAGATAGGAGTCTTGCTATGTTGCCAGGGCTGGTCTCAAACTCCTGGGCTCAAGTGATCCTCTTGCCTCGGCCTCCCAAAGTGCTGGGATTACAGGCATGAGCCACCACTCTCAGCCAAGAGGAAACTCTTAACAAAGGATTTAATATATATTACATATAAAGTACTTAAAAGCATGGAATGTATAATCTAGAGGAGATTCAGAAAGATATACATTATGCCACCTTCAACTCTCTGGAAAACTTGTCTTAGCAAAGACTTGGTGGAGGTAGATAAGCTGAGGAAACAGATTAGAACTGCAGATTGGATGACCTGGCAGGATAGTTAATTCTGCTCTTCATGTTCTTGACCTCTGGATTTCCTTATTTCCTACTCTGTCAATATAAAAGAGCTTAGACCTGTGAGGCCAATGAGTCCTAGTTTAGTCTGCCTGTCTCCCTGCATTTTGTAACTTACATTTAAAAAGTTGAAATGCAGACCTCTTAACCCAGAGTCTATAAAAACCCTGAATTTCACAAAGGTTTTCTGTGTGAGACTTAGATAAGGTTAATAAGCATTTAAGAGGAACATGAAATATACTTACAGAACTGATTATTAGTAGCACACGTAACTGTCAGAGGTAGTAATAGCTTCCACTTTTGAGTGTCCAGTGTGTACATATAACACTTCATATACACCATCTCATTTAATTTTTAAATCCTTGGGTGTAGGAATTATCCCTTTATATAGATAAGGAATCTATACAAAATGATAAATATTTGGTCAAGGACATAGCAAAGGACAACAGCAGAACTTATGGGCTAATCTTTTTTTTTTGAGACGGAGTTTCATTCTTGTTACCCAGGCTGGAATGTAATGGGCACGATCTTGGCTCACCACAACCTCCGCCTCCTGGGTTCAAGCAGTTCTCCTGCCTCAGCCTCCCGAGTATCTGGGACTACAGACACGTGCCACCATGCCCAGCTAATTTTTGTATTTTTAGTAGAGATGGGGTTTCACCTTGTTGACCAGGATGGTCTTGATCTCTTGACCTCGTGATCCACCCACCTCGGCCTCCCAAAGTGCTGGGATTATAGGCGTGAGCCACAGGCTGGGCTAATCTATCTTTACCGCAGAGCAGTATATTTTAATGATGGAGTCACAAGGAGCATACAAAGACAGTTGCCTTTTTAATATCCCCAAGGTGGGCAAGTGACTTACCCAGGACACACAGCTAATTTGTAGCAGCAGGGCCATCTGAATGATTATCTTAACACCATCTGTGATGGGGCCGTCAGGTAAAGGCCAAAATCGTCATGGGCCTCAGGGCAGGGTTTGAGAGGAGTGTAAGAGGAACTGAGCATTGAATAGGAAAGCTTTGGGGATAAGACAGTCCAGACTAGTGAGAGAAGAATGCACAAGGGTTTATGAGCCAGGTTCAATTATCAGCTCAAGGTGGCAGCCAGAATTATTTAGGTGCTGTAAAGGCAACCCACACACAATGGGTAGGGGTGAGACTGGTTTAAGTCTGGGGTTGCAGTGGGGCGCGGTGGCTCAAGCCTGTAATCCCAGCACTTTGGGAGGCCAAGGCGGGTGGATCATGAAGTCAAGAGATCAAGACCATCCTGATCAACATGGTGAAACCCCGTCTCTACTAAAAATACAAAAAATTAGCCGGGCGTGGTGTCGTGTGTCTGTAATCCCAGCTACTCAGGAGGCTGAGGCAGAATTGCCTGAACCCAGGAGGCGGAGGTTGCGGTGAACCGAGATCGCGCCATTGCACTCCAGCCTGGGTAATAAGAGCAAAACTCAGTCTCAAAAAAAAAAAGAAGTCTGGGGTTGCTTGAACTAAGTTAAAAGTTAGAGGACTGGCTTCTGAGCATAACATTTTATTTCCTTTGTTTTCTGGTAAGAACAGATACTACACTTGATCTTAGCCAAAAGGCTGAGAAGTGATCTTCTTTTCAGAGCTCGTTCCCGAAATTTCATTAGAGCCACTAATCAGTGACACTGATGCAATTCCTGCTCACAGCATAGATGTTACAGATTTTTTTCTTTTTTTACCGTTTAACTTTCTCTCTTCAGAATTTTGTACACTGGTTCATCTTAAAACATTTTTCCAAAGAGGTTCTCAAGTATGTAATTTACCTATAAGCCATCATGCCACCACTTAGTTTAAGACTGTTTTTAGTTTCAAGAATTTGATTTATCCTTCCTTTTTCTTACTGTAGGAAAAGAACACCTCAGCCCGATGACGAATACTGTCTTGTGTAAATACATTCAAGGAAGGCACTTCCACTACCTCACTGACTTCATAATTGGAATGTCACTTGGTTTTTTAAATCAAGATCCAGTGAACTGAGATTCTGAGATTTTGCTTGTAACATTATTTTTGTAAATCACTTATACATATGGGAATAGTTGCATACAATTTAAACCAACATCCTATGTTTTTTTTTAAATCTTTGCAATGCATTTTTAAAAACAGTGATTTTAACTGCGTATTTGAACCTACAAACAAATCTTGTTAAAAGAATGTTCATAAGGCCCTCTTTATAGTGTTATTTTTGAATTTTGCTTAGAATCTATTTTTCATATGAAAATAAAAGGTAACAATTAACTTGGGTCTGTCATCTGACTTTACACTTCACAATCTGTGGAAAAGCAGTCAAATTTCTATCTTAATTTCAATTAAGTAAGCTTTCAGTTGGATTTACCTCGAAGTTGAAGAATGTTATACTTACCAATGAAGGGTTTCATCATTTAGAAATTTATCAGTTATAAAACTATTATGCTCCAGATGCCTTTCCTCAGCCAACATATTCTTTGTACCTTGGAGAATCTGACCCAGTAATAAATTCAAAGTGTGTTGCCTTTTAAAATTTTGAACTACAATTAATTAACAGCTCAACTCCACGATGTATACATTTCTTTAAAAACTGAAATAGCAACTGCTCTCACAGTCGGGCAGAATTATTCCCAAGGGTAAAATATGTAATACATTAGGTTTTAAAATATTACCGGGAACTCTTTTCTAGATCACTAGACAGCTTTTAAGTCACAAAAGGCATTTTACCATGTTATTAGAATACAGAACAGCACAGTGCAGTAATCCCTCACCAAGGTTTTTATTCCAAAAACAGTTATTTGGCTAGAAGTGGACTGTTGAGATATGGGATCAATGGAGTTACAATAAAGACAATGAAAGATGACATACAATTTATTAATACACAGTAAGTTCTAGAAGACATCTACTTCCAAAACAAAACTTTTCTTTTGTATTTACATTTTTTGTTTCACTCTTTCAAGTCTTAACAAAATGCTTAAAGGCCTGGCCTAGTCACAATTATTGACATCCTTCTGGGACAATTTTCTGGGCCTGTGTTGAAGAAGGATAAATTATCTTTTCTCTAAAATGCCACATGAACCCTCTCTATACTCCCACATGAACAGGAATGGAAGGTAATTATTTGGTCTTTAATTCTGTTTAAGGGAATGAACTGAACCACTCAGCTTATTTTTTTTAAATCACACTTAAAATAGCGGACATACAGGCAAAAAAGTTCCCCAAACTATTGTCGTAAGGAAGTTGAGAAGGGAGGTAATGTATGAAGCTTAACATCTGGTTTCAAAAGACATCTTTCCAAAGAAGTTTTACCTCTATTATGTATATACCACCAACCAAAAAAAAAAAAAGTTACTCCATTGAACACTTATCCATGAAAAATACTTGAACATTATACTGGAAGATCTATTTAAGCATAAATAGTACTAAGCACCAGCTACTCATCTGAGGGCTGCCTCATAGGTGCAAGGGCAATGAGTAACCTCAAGAAGCAGGTGACCGCACAGCAGTAAGCTATGGATTAAAAATTAAAAGGATTTCACATTCTTTCCAAAGGGTACTCCCAGTATCTGGCACACACGTTACAATATGACAATCTGCTCTTATTTGTGAGCACCTGAGTTTATTATAGGGGATTACACATGCATATGATAGAATCTGGCTCCCTGTATAAAGGAGAACACTACTGGCCAACAAATGTGCTATCTTACACTGAAAAAGACTGACTGAAAACATTTCAACGGTGATGCAAACACAAGAATAAAACTGGCTCTATTACTTAGCGATGCGGTTTTATACGCTACATATGTAGACCCTCTTTATACAATACAATGAATAAGGACAGTGCTGCAATAAAAACTGATAACTCATGTCAAATGTTTGCCTGAAGAAAATAAACCCTATTATAGTTCAGAAAATAATGCAACCAATTTTAATTTAATCTAGATACAGGTACTTTATTTACAAATATTTAGATTAATAGCATTTTGTTACATCAAATGAAGAGTACAGCAGTCTGAATAAATCCTTCGGTCACAGAACAATAAAACCCACTGTAACTAACTTTGGGAATCAGGGTATTGCACCTAAACAAGCCGCAGTCTTCAGTCTGTGATTGCTACCTTATATTCCAATGGGTGGTTTGTTTGTTTTGTTTTTGTAAATACACACGCACACCAGCAGGTCATGGTCCCTGGGTGAATCTCTTGTGATGCAACAGTGTAAGCAAAATGGATCACTGGAAGTCTTTAACAGAACATACCAATCTACTCCAGAAATCTTATTTTTAAAAAAGTTAAAGACAAAAATAAAGATGAATCCACAAATTAAACAAATCCTATTTTCTGCACATTCCAGTTTTGGCTTTTATTTAACAATGACTATACAATACTCTGGTACTACCACGTTTACAACCCAGAAAGATGTACTTTTATGTTAGTGTCTGTAAAGAGGGATTTAAAATGTGTATTTTAAACACAGCAGTTAAACTGAGTGCATTCTATATAGTATGCTGAGGTGTCACCTATTCTACTTCAAATAAATTCTCAATTCCCAGCCACTGAATCATAAAACGCAATAAAAATGATCAATAGAAGTGAAGAACTTAATAACACGTTTGTTGTCTAAAGAAGTAAGATTGTTTCTCTTGCTATACAGTATTAATTCAGTGGCCAAACCACCTAGTGCAAAGTAATAACTTACTTTGTATCAGCACAAGCACTAAAACACCTTTAGAAACACTTTCCCTTTTACAACAATTTATGCCAACAGGACATAAAATAGCCCCTCGTACTGTGAACACAGGGTATCTTATTTTGCTGTAGTGTTAAAAATGCACAATTTAAAATCCCATAACAGCAGACCTGTGGTTCTGACTGTCCAGTTCAGAATCTGACCATTCCAAGAAGATAAAGGTATAAAAGCTTAAATGTGCAATAATAAACCCAGCCTTTTTTCTTTTTCTATACAGTAAGGCAAGAATGCAGCCTGTAATGCAAAAACGTTTACAAAAAAGAGAAAAGCAGGTTAGCACATTGTCAACTGCATAAGAACAGTTAAAATCAGCAGGTAAGCAAGTGCAAAGATGGAACAGAATCTGCTAGTGTTAATCCTCTGATGCTAGGAGCTCTTTCCAGCATAATGTCCCCAAACACTGCCAGCACCAAGGGGTGGAGCCAGTACTACTTGTGAACTGCAGTTGTGTCTATTTCTTTGTGTGAAATGGAAGGGAATAACATGGTCACATATAGGTCATACTGTACAAACTGGTATTTTATACTGTTCCAATGCCAGTAATCAATTTATTTTCTTCATTAAAATAATATACACAGAATGTATTGTTAGTTCGATTCCTTCAAATTTTATACATATTTACTTTCTGTTAAAGAGAAAAGGATAAAATGGTATAAAAAAAAGATAAAGCTATTAATTAAGCACGAGAGAAGATAAATGGATATTTTCCCTGTGCGAGGCTAAGACAGAAGCAAACCTCGTCAAGAAAAATGTCACCCACACAACAGGAAATTTCTCCAATAAAAACAAAAGCAGTTATAGAACCCCTTCTCTATCATCAGAAGTCATTTCACAGCAATAAACTTATTGGTTACAATAGACATACTTAAACAGTTAAGGATGGGAAGAAAGGCTTAAGATATCATCAAATTAAACCGTACAGCGAGACAAAGCCTTGCCAAAGACGGAAGGTAAAAATCATGAAGTCCAGCATCAGTGCTCAGTTTAAATCATATATTGGTGACATACCTATCACGAGGACAAAGGGGAAAAAAAGTCTAGATTTACCATGCAGGAGAGATTTATTACTCTACTTGCCTTTGATAACCTGATTACATCTAGTTGTTTAGCAGTTTAGTATTGTGTTAAACTGTTTTTACAAGAGAGTTTCATTTTTTCTTTTTTTTTTTAATTAAACCCAGTAGGATGTACAGAAGACAATGAGGCAGTAAAAAGTACTGCTTCCAACAGACAGAGGTGAAAGGTCAAATGAGGGACCATGGTAAAGAGGTCACTAGCAGCCACAGCCTTCTCTCTGGGGTTGGGGTTCACTGGTTAGTCGGCCTCCCTGTGGAGCTGAAGGTTTGTGTTGTACACCAGACTCAGCAGCATTCAGATCCAGGCTTCCATCCTGAATGTTCTGGTAGATTTTCTTGGCAGCCTCAAGGAAGGCATCTTCTACGTTCTCTCCCCTAAGAGGCAATTGATAACTTTATTCAAGAACCACAGTTTTCTACCAAAGACAAGACATTACACACTGACCTTTTGCTAACCTTTAGTTAACTGCCATGATATCTTCAACTTAACCACTGCCATCTAATAAGAGATGACCAGAACTCTGAGCTAAAACAACATAGAAAACTATTTGCTATGGAAAGCATACATACATACATACATGGTGCTTAAAGCCCTTTCTACAAACCCTATTTGGACAACTACATGTGTTATATACAATCACTAAAATACTATATGTTAACAGACACCATGACAATTGAGAGAGGCCATTTCTCCTCCAGACAGAAATGAAATCTCTCCAAACATGCTGAAAATAATTCCAAGAATAATATGGTCTGATCAGCAAAGCATGAACTGAGCTGTTT